ACACACACACACACACACACACACACACACACACACACACACACACACACACACACACAGAGTCTATTCCTACTATGACACAGCTGCTAGAGGGAAGCTTAGGTAAGCCTCTGAGCTATGCATGTTGCTAGGCCAGTGAGACAGTAATCAAGTTGAACCAAAGTGACCAATCTGGCAGCGCTCTATGCTTATGGTGGTGCTGGGGGTGTCACTGTGGGGCTGCCCTAGGTGAGCAGAGTGTGCTTTAACCTGGGGCAGCAGCAAGGGGACAGGAATGAGGGGCAGTATTACAGAGATGGTGTCAGAGAGACGGAGTCTGTATGGTCATGATAGCACACACCCCTGGTCCTTATACACGCAAAGCAGAAGCAAGAGGAGTAGGAGTTCATGGTCAGCCCTGGCTATATATCAAGTTCGAAGCTGTATCAGCTTCACAGAATCCTGTATTAAAAAAAAAAATCAAAGGTAAGAAAAAAAATCTTAAAAAGGTACTAGGTGTCACCTGCTTTGGAACAGGACACAGAGTAGGGACCACAAGTCTCTGCAAAGGCAAGATGGACAGCCTTTACTCTCCCTGTACACATGGGAGAGAGTCCACGACAAAGGGCGTGTCACTCACTACCTGTGACAAACTTTGTTCACTGTTGGTGAACACTTCCCACCCTCAAGGCAAGGCCACATGGGTGGAACTTCAGCGAGGACCCTTCAGGAGCCTTTAGGGCTGGGGCCCAGCTCAGTGACAGAACCCAAGCTTAGCCCTTATGAAGCTGGGTACAGGACGCTCTAGCTTCAACCCTAGTGCACCCACCAAACAGACAGACAAATTCAAGGTCTGCTGTGGGAGTGTGGTTTCCATATTTGGGCTGCAGGCAAGTCCCTGTCTCTGGAGATCTCAGGAGTGAGTACTCTCAATGAAGTGTGGAGTCACACAAACACCTCCCCCCGAGCAGAGGCCTCCTTCTTCCTAGAGAAGCCTCACCCTAGAGGCTGCTGCTCAAGCTTTGAGGCAGGCTGAGGTTCTAGACGCTCCTCTCCCACCTTCCCTCCTAGAATTCTCCAGGGAGAGACTTCATGGTCAGACACAACCTCGAGGTAGATCCTCCCAAGGTGGGCACTGGTGCACCCTGGGAAATATGGTGGACCCAAGTCTCCTGAGGAGCTGATGTCCGTGTCAGAGAATGCTCTGGCCACTGCCCTCCATTGCAGTTGAGTCCTTCCTGACCTATCACTGCAGAACTTACTCTGTCATTTATGGCCTCTGACTCAGTGTAAGGCAGGAAACCATCTATGATGCAGTGACCCAGAGTGCTGACTTCTGATTCCTCCTAGCAAGAACATGAAGTTCTTTAGAGCAGGTTCCTGCTGGCCTCTCTAAGATCCCCTGACACACTCCTACCCATTTCCTTCAGAAGCAGGCTCCTTCAGTGTCCTGCACCTCACCCCAGGGCCTTTGCACATACTGTTCCCTTGGAATCCTAGTTGTTAAGACTTAAGAGCACTGAACACCACTGGGCTTACTTCTTGTGGTATCTGAGGTAAATACTTAGTGGCACCCCTTACACACTGACTGGTAAGTCTCTTTAAGAGACTCCATCAGCCCCAAGACCTGAATGATCATCTTGTTGCTGCCCCCAAAGTTCTGAGGTTGCAGGCACACAAACCATTACACTCTCTCTCTCTCTCTCTCTCTCTCTCTCTCTCTCTCTCTTTCTTTCTTTAAAACAGGGATGCTGGGGATTTGAACTCAGATCTTTAAGCTTGCACAACAGGGGCTCTTACCTATTGAGCTGTCTCCCAAGTCCCATTCTGTGGTGGGTTCTTTCTTTCTTTCTTTCTTTCTTTCTTTCTTTCTTTCTTTCTTTCTTTCTTCCTTCCTTCCTTCCTTCCTTCCTTCCTTCCTTCCTTCCTTCCTTTCTTTCTTTCTTTCTTTCTTTCTTTCTTTCTTTCTTTCTTTTGTTTTTTTGAGACAGGGTTTCTCTGTGTAGCCCTGGCTGTCCTGGAACTCACTCTGTAGACCAGGCTGGCCTTGAACTCAGAAATCCGCCTGCCTCTGCCTCCCAAGTGCTAGGATTAAAGGCGTGCGCCACCGCCTGGCCTGTGGGTACTTTCATAGGCATTTTCTTAACTCCAGCCCAACCCAACAGTCCAACGTGTTCAGTGACAGCAACTATTCATAAGAGGTGTGGAATATGGGCTGAGACTGTGCCCATGGCCTGCCTCCTCTCATCACAGCTTATAGACGGATGAGGAAGCTGAGCTTAGAGCTCAGAGTCCCAGTAAACACACTGGGCTGCCCAGTGGCTTAAGACATGGCAATGAATAATCTGCCAGATCTGTCGCTGGGATGTTCACCCATTGCCCATCTCAGCTGCTGTCTGCACCCCTGCCTCCCAACCATGTAGCGCAGTCCGACTCTGAGTTGCTGCTGCAGGACATTGGCACCAAGGAGAAATCCTCAGACTGGGACTTTCAGGGAGAGGGGAGGCTGTGGGCTGTACAAGATCCAGGTGAATAGGAAGTTCTGGTAAATCTTTGACAGCTTTTCCCTGTTAGTAAGGTACTTGTCTGACCATCACAGGCTAAGACCACATAGACTGGGAAGGGATCCAGAATAGTAGTACCCCTTGGTCTACTATGGCTTCCCACACCCAAGAGTGTTCAAGGCTGTCCTGACCTTTGTTCCTGCCCTGTAACCAGTCAGCCAGTTGAGTCTGGAGGTGGTAGAGTGGGCCCTCTCTGACTCAAAGGCTACCTACAGGGTACTCATAGCTCAGTAAAAGGGCTTTCCACCTCTTTTAGGCAGCCTCTCCTAGGTGGCCCTGCCCTTCTCTCCTGTGATTTCCTTTCAGCTGGGAGCCCTACAGGTGCATGCTCAGAACCTGCAGCCAGTGTGGAAACCAGCTGCCCATGTGTGAATCCTGGATCCCCTGTTGGCAAGGCTGTACAAACTCCTGCTTGCAAAAAAGTGATCTGTCTCATTTGCTATCAGAATCATCTTGGCTCGGGAGCTGGCTGGGGGTAAAGAGTTTGCTGTGTGAGTATGAGGACCTGCATTCAGTCCCTACAATCCATGGGAAAAGCTAGGTGTTGGAGCACGTACTTGTAATCTCAGTGCTGGGGAGGCAGAGACAGGAGGATCCCTGGAGTTTCCTGGACAGCTGGTCTAGCATTACTTGGTAAGTTCCAGGTCAGTAAGAGACACTGGTTCTGAAACACAAGGTGGTGCTGGTGAGATAGCTCACTGGGCAAAGATACTTGCTGCCAAACCTGACAATCCAAGTAACCCTTGGGACTTGTGGTCGAAGGAGAGAACCAATTCCTGGATATTGTCCTCTGATCTCTATACATGTGCTGAGGTTCATGTGCACCCCTCTACATGCATACAAAATAAATTAAATGCAATACAGAGTCAAACAAAACCTCCACAAGGACAGCGGACAGCTCACGCAGAACAATGTGTGTGCCTTCCACATACATGTACACACTTATGCACCAACACACACACACACACACACACACACACACACACACACTTATATATATCCCACCACCACCACTATCTGTGGACATGCAGTAGCCACACTTCCCAGCCTTGCTTGTCTCTAAAGCTGGCCCCAGACTGTGATGGCTGGGATTAGAGTCTCTGTAGGGAACAGCTAGTTGTCCCCAACTCTGATCAGGCTCAGGCTTCAGGACTGTAATTTAATTTGGCCATTGCTATTCAGAGCTGGGTGACCTCAGACAACTTGTGACCCTCTGGATGACAGTCCACAGCAGGATTTCTCAAAGCCTGGGCTATACTGACACCTTTCAGCCAGATTAGACGATCCTTGCTCATCTTGGATACAGTGCAGACCTGTGGCCATCAGGTACACTATGTGACCCACCTTCACACCCAGTACACAGCTCTGTGGATCATGAGGCTCAGAGTCAGAAGAGAATGTTCCTGTCCCTGCAATGCGGGTGGCCCAAGCTGAAGGCTCCACTTACCCCAGAGGGCCATAAACACAGAGAAGAAGACAGTGGCAGGGTTGTCAAAGAGGTGACTGGCACGGGCTGTGGCACAGGCTGAGCTCATCTTCCAGTAGCTGCAGGTCTTGTCACACAGAGGACACATGGTGATGTTGTGTCTCTGATCACACATCTCCATGCTGTAAGACAGAGGTGGTCTCAGGTTCCCAAGTGGCCTCAAGTCCTCAAGTCCCAGTCCACTTTCCAGCGTCAATGGAGGGCAGCCATAGCAGTCACAGTCATAGCCATGTTGGCTAGCTGTGGCCACTCTATCCCTTGACAACCCTCTCTACTCCCTGCCACGTGCTTTACAGGCATGTGACTCATGCCTGACCATGAGTTTTAGGACCTCAGGCTCCATTCAAGACCCTTGACTTAAGTAAACTCCCATGGTTGGGGGGAAGGGTTCTGGATCTTCACCTCGATAGAACATTGATAGAGCCAGCTCTGAACACCCACTCACGTCCACATTCTTCTTGTGGCAGAAAGAGGCATCAGAATGTCCCCTCTGGTGTGAGCCTTGGATGGTAATTTTGGATGATGCCTGAGGTCAACATTCCTGATACCTCCGCAGCACAGGACCCCCAGGCAGCCTTCCTATTGCCTCCAGGATCTATCAAAGCCCTGCTACATGCACAGAAGCCAGCTCGTTATATGGCCAGGCTCAGAAGCCCAAGGGAGGGATGGGGTGAACTGCAGCCAGAAGGCCCTCACTGTGGCCAGACCTATGCTAGGTGACTCTCTGGTGGCACTAGGCATCATGCCATGATCCTTATAGGGCATACTGACAGCTAAAAAGGTAGAGAAAAGCCGGGCAATGGTGGTGTACACCTTTAATCCCAGCACTTGGGAGGCAGAGGCAGGCAGATTTCTGAGTTTGAGGCCAGCCTGGTCTACAGAGTGAGTTCCAGGACAGCCAGGGCTACACAGAGAAACCCTGTCTCAAAAAACCAAAAAAAAAAAAAAAAAAAGTTAGAGAAATGGTGCCCAGGACTTCTCTCTTGGGTGGCTAGGCTCAAAGGAGCAGGCCTCCAAGCTGCCAGGTCCTCAAGCATCCTGAGGGGCTCACTCAGGAAACAGAGGAGGCTCCAGGAATGGCAGGTCCTAGTCAGTGAAGTACACAGACTCAGCTTGGTTCTCAACAGGTGAGGAGTTTTGAGGCCAGGGCACCTGGGGCCTTCACTGCTCATGCTAATACATCCTGAAGTTTACAGTCTTCAGCAGAAGAGGGGGGTTGGCAGGGTGGTAGTGGTGGTGGTGTTAATCACTAATCTGGAGGTGTCCCCTGACCTGGACTGGCACTGGGAGGCTGTCACACTACAGTCTTACCTTCACAGGCGGGAGCAGGAGCCCAGAGAAGAAAGGAAACTCCTTAGGGCCATACAGCATGGTGGGAATTAAAGCCCAATCTTGGAACAAGAGCCCTGGGCTTGGAATGGCTCTTAGGGTCACAGGCCCTGCTGAGCTCAGGTTTCTAGGCTGTGTTCTACACTGTCCTGTACTCCGTGACTGTGTTCCAGTCCACAAGCTTCAGGCTCGACGTCTGTGGAAAATGAGGAGAGGGGCCAGAATACTGGCCTCTAGCCACAGCCTACCCTGAACTTTCCTTCCTTCAAACTTGGACCAGACCCTGATCTATAAATAGATGCCCAGGCTGGAGACATCATTCCCAGGGGTCAGACGGCCATCCGGGAGAAAGCTGAAGTGAATATTTTTGCTTTTTGCTTTGTTTTTTGAGATTTCTGGATCCACGTGAACTTGTGCATATATTTGTGCTGGCTCTTGGGGACTCTCCTCTGTGCCCGAGGTAGAGAACACCAGCTCCATTCTTTTTTTTGAGCATCAAAAAGGAAGCTGGTTATTCACAACAGATGTGAAGTCAAGGACAGGCTAACAGCCACCAAGACAGTGGTTTTGGAGCATCTGGGGAGATGAGATATACACATGCACATATAGGAGAGAGGAAGGCATCCAGAGGAGAGGGAGGAGACATATGCTATGGAGACTGAGGTCCTGAGTTCAAGTCTCAGCTCTGGCCTGTATGTGCAGTCTTGGGAAGGGTGCTGAGTCCTACTGTCTCAGTTTCCCAGTCTTCCTAGATGAACTGGGTGTATGGAGTACAGTGCTGCAGGACTGCTGGGAAGGAGAAGTGAGATGGACCAGCATGTGTGTGACCTTTACAAGGGCCAGTACAACTCAGCCCTAATGTGGCTGCTGCTGTCACCAGCCTCCTGGGGCCTTAAATTAGCGCAATGTTACCAGATGCCCAGGAACTGGTTCATCAGGGCCACTTCTCTCCTCAAACTGAGACAGAGGAGTAGATGGGATGACCCCAGTTGTGACCAGTCTGGTCTGAGCCCCTCTCCCTACGAACTGCTGGGTAAAAGGCTATTCCTGCTAGATCAGCTGTGTCCCAAGGCCATGCTGTCTGCTTGGCTTAAGACTGGGGAAGGCTAGAGGGCCTGAGGACTGGCCTCTGGCACAGGGAGTGCCAAGGCCCAGTTCCACCCGTCTGCCTGCCTATGAGCCTCTGTGGCTTTAAGCTGTCCTCCTTGCCAGCCTCAGCTTCTAATACAAATGCCAGCAGCAAACAAACAGCCTTTTTCTTAGGGCCTTTAAGCTCAGCCCAAATCAAGAAACACAGCCTGAAGGTCCAGTGATCAGAACGATTGGTGGCACAGGGTACACAGGGTGGTTTGTCACTGGCCACCCCTTCCCTGTGACCTCAGTCTGATCTGACAGACTCCAAGAGGGGACTACATGGCTCTGGCTGCCATGCAAGATCAACTGGGGCAGAGGCCAAGGTTGGACAGGCCTGGGCATTGTCTGTGCCCCTAGATGATTACTGTTTGCCTTTCTGACCATGTGATTTAAGGAGGCTGAGCAGCCAGAGTAAAAAACCTGGGCATTTTCTCTAGGGAGTCCACACCCTGAGCGAGCAGAGCCCCCTCTACTCGGGGACATCATGGGAATACCCCCACTCCACTTCCTGCTTCTCACAAGCTTTGAGCTCTGTCAGTTGACAAGGAGCCTTACATCTACCAAATCTCAGCCATTTTCATCTGTCCCATCAGCAAATCCCAGCATGCATTGCATTATCTTTGCATTACAAAGCCTTGTGTTATCCATGCAGACACAGGAACAGCTTTCTTCTGCTTGGGACTGAGAGAACTGGGCAGGGAATTCTGGGGAATGGATTACATAGTAAAACATGGAAGGGGCTGAGGATGGCTCAGTGGCTAAGCACACTGGTTGATCTTCTAGGGTCCCAGAAAAAAAATATATGTATATATGTATATTGTCTGACAAGATCCTGCCTCTTCCCCAGCTGTCAGAAACAGGGTTCTTTACTGACTGGAAACAGTGATATTCCAATCTGTAACCCCATGTCAGAGCACGGTTCTAAGAAGGTCCTGCAGCTGGCCATGAGGTTGGGCCAGCTCAGATCCCCCGTGTGGCCTCAGGACACAGGTGCCCCTCGGTATTATGTCTTCTATAGAGTCCAGGATTTCTCCCTACCTGGGGATGTTTTCGTCCACAGTGGCACATCCGTAGAGAAAAACAATGACACCCACGATTGAGGCGGGGATGAGCATCTGGGTGTAGGCTCCAAGCCAGGCAAAGTACAGGCCAACCTTCTCCCCAAAGTATTTCCTATGCCAAGAAACAGAGATGCACTCACACCCTAGACCATGGGACATATAATGCCCGCTGCCCCTCCACCCCTGCAAGAACAACCCCAACTGGGTCACTGTTTTTCCTGAGAGTCGGAGTGTGAGGCTCTAGGGGACTCCATCAGACTTGGGGTTCTATCTAGTCTCTGTTTGCTCTTCCTTTTCTTTGTTTGTCTGTCTGTTTGTTTCTTTCCTTTTTTCTTTTTCCTTTTTAGTAATAATTTGAACCAAGGACCTCACACACGCTAGGCAAATGCTCTCCCACTAAACTATAACCCTGAACATATTTATATTCTCTTTCTCTTCCTTCCCTCCCCCCTCTCCTCTCCTGCCTCTCCTCTCATAGCACAGGCTAGCCCCAAGTTCACTATATAACTGAGGATGACCTTGAACTTGTGATTCTCTTCACTTCCAAGCACTTGGATTACAGGTAGGCACTGCCTTGCCTGGCTTACACCATGGAGCCTAGGGCACAGGCATGCTAGGTATACATTCTACCAGCTGAGCTGAATCTCCAGCCTCTTTTGGAGACTGGATTTTTCTCTATAGTGCAGACCTCACTATATAGCCCAGGTTGGTCTTAAATTCCCATTCTTCCTGCCTTAGCCTCCCAAGTACTGGATTGTCTATGCGTCACCAGGTTAGACTTTGCCTCTCCTCCATGCCTTGGGGGAAGGGTGTACTTCTGTTTGTAAAGCCCTCAGTGGTGGTCCAGGTGTGTCCCCATGGCTCTGGGTTCCATCCCAAGCCCTATTCAGTGTAAGCAACAAATGAAACTTGGTCAAATGCATCAAGCAAACCCTCCTACTCCCATAGAGTCTGCTAGCCCTCCCTGCCTGACATGCACTGTCACCATTCATACCCTCATCCACAAGCCGACACAGGACCTGAAGCCCAGCCTATTGGCTTTTCAGGCTGTCCTGCAGATCCTCTCCAACCTTGTTACACATTCTCATGTGTTGAGGCAGGTGCTTCTTCCTCTCAATACCCAAAAGCAGGTGACCTCAGCAACTGCCCTGGTGGCCAGGCTGAGGAGGACTCAAGGAGAGTCAGTGGGTGTGGTCAAACGCTAGTCATCCAGCAGACACAACTAGGTAGTGTCACCAATTCTACTCCAGCTGCCTTGCTTCTGGGAGACTCAATGGCCCAAACAACCTTCAAATACAAGCAGATTCCCAGGTGGCTAAATATTTGGAGCAGTTAACAAGCCAGGGACTTTATAATCCTGACACAGCCTTGAGTCTTGCTTCACACAGACACTGGCTAAGAGGCCAGTTGTGCCCCCACTTACCTGACCAGGTCAATGGGCTGGTATTTGTAGAAGACTCCGTAGCTTGCCCATTCTTCATACAGGAGCTGAAAGGAATGGGGGAAAAGTTGGTGGAGAGGCCTCTCTCTCTCTCTCTCTTTCTCCCTCCCCACCCCCTCCAGCTTCAGGGTCTTTCCTAACAGGATAGATCCCAGCACACCTGTCTGTGTACTGTCCTTGTATACCTCCATTGCTACTCATGCTGTGCCCTAGAAGAGCTTCCGGGTTTCAGTCAGCCACTCTATCATTCATTCATTCACTCGTTCATTCAACAAATGCTTAGGGAATGCCAGGGAGGGGATTAGCATTACAGGTTCAAGTGGGGATGGAGAAGATGTTTCTAGAAGGTCATGAAATCTCGGCTTTTCATGACTGGACTGGGAATTCACCTATGACAAATGATAATAAGAGATCCCTTGGGTCAGATACCGAATTTGTTTATTATCTAAAATGTGTCAAACCATCAGCGTTCAAGCAGGGACACATGGATGGTACAGTTGAAAGAGAATCCCCTGGTGTACAAAGATAGCACAAGATTCATCTCCAGAGACAGGCTGCCTGATTAACACGTTTTGGGAAAGGACCAGGGCCAGCCAGGTGGCTCAGGATGTAAAGGTGCTTGCCCTCAAGCTTGGCAACCTGAATTCTATCCCCAGGACATGGTAGAAGAGAACTGATTCCTACAGTTGGTCCTTTGGCCTCAACACATGTTCTCTGTCTGTCTGTCTGTCTGTCTGTGTCTCTCTCTCTCTCCCTCTCTCCAGCTGCATAGTCTCTTATGATGGGACAGTGGCCCAAACCCCACTGTCTGTGTATCGTCATTGCTACTGTGCACGAACTGGGTGGAAACAGGGCCCAGAGACCCTCCTTGGCACATACCCTCTATGCCTAGCCTGGCAAGGAATTACCAGGCAATGGGCTCTGTCTCCACACACTTCCCAAGGGGGTCCCAGGTCAGAGCTCCTCTGCCAGTCTTCATGGGACAGGACTGTCTGGTTCTCAACCATTCCTCCTCTGTTGGCAACAGAACACTAATGGAGAGGAGACTAGGTAGGAATGGCTGTGTGGACTCCCCTGTCCCTGTCTCTTACTCTGTTGCTTGTCATGTGTCTTCTTTCTGTAATATTCAACTACATTTATATATTCAAATTATATGCCTCTGTCTCCCTTCTTGCCCCCACCGTGTGTGTGTGTGTGTGTGTGTGTGGACAGGTTTAGGTAGGTATACTGGCTGGCTTTGTGTTTCAACTTGCTACAAACTGGAATTATCACAGAGAAAGGAGCTTCAGTTGAGCAACTGCCTCCATGGGATCCAGCTGTAAGGCATTTTCTCAGTTAGTGATCAAGAGGGGAGGGTCCACTGTGGGTGGTGCCATCCCTAGGCTGGTAGTCTTGGGTTTTATAAGAAAGCAAGCTGAGCAAGCCAGGGGAAGCAAGCCTGTATGTAACATCCCTCCATGGCCTCGGCATCAGTTTCTGCTTCCTGACCTGCTTGAGTTCCAGTCCTGACTTCCTTTGGTGATGAACAGCAGTGCGGAAGTGTAAGCTGAATAAACCCTTTCCTCCCCAACTTGCTTCTTAGTCATGATGTTTGTGCAGGAATGGAAACCCTGCCTAAGACAGTAGGCGTGTATGTGCACGTGTGCGTGTGTCCAGGTATGTATAAGGCCAGAAGGCAGTCTTGGGTGCCATCCACCGCTTTTGATCTCCCATCATCTTGAGCTCACTAGTCAGACTGGCTGTCCACAGCACCCCAAGGCCCTCCTGTTTCTCTTTGCAAGCTGCCATGTTGACTTATTTTCCACACAGATTCTGAGGACTGAATTCAGGTCCTTGTGCTTATGAGAGAAGTACTTTAGCAACTGAGCTTTTTCCTGAGCCCCTTAACATTCAAATTTAAAAATGAGGTGGGGTGAGTCTCTATTCGGGTGTTGTGCATTCATGAAAACATTATCCCAGACATTCTTAGGGACTGGACGTGTGAACTCTCTGCATACGTACAGCCCCGAGTCTCATGTGACTACTAGGAGCTGGGACCTTTTGAGAGGAAATCAGGGTTAACCTGAGGTCACATAGTTGGGGCCCTGACTCCAGACACCATGGCTCTTTGATGGAGCAGAGCAATGCTATCTGCAGGTAGGAAACTTAGTTAGTCATCTTATAGGTTTTCTGAATGCTCCTCCCATGAGTAGCTGTGGTTTCCACAATGCCTGGGGTCCTCTCTCAACTCAAAAGGTCCAGAGTAGAAGGGGAGAATTGACTGGCAGGGTAGCATGATCTCCACTTGGGAGTTCCTTCCTGTCTGTCTATCTGTCTATCTGTCTATCTGTCTATCTGTCTATCTGTCTATCTGTCTATCTATCTATCTATCTATCTATCTATCCATCCTCTTTTTGAGACAGTATTGTAGCCTGGCCCTATCTATCTATCTATCTATCTATCTATCTATCTATCTATCCATCCATCCATCCATCTTCTTTTTGAGACAGTATTGTAGCCTGGCCATGACTCTGTGCGTAGCTGAGGATTACCTTGAACTCTTAGTCTTTCTGCCTTCAACTCCTGAATACTAATTAGGATTCCAGGTGTAGCCACCATGCCGGTTTATGCAGTACTTGGGAATGAACCCAAGGCCTTATACAGGCTTGGCAAGCACTCTACTGACCGAGCTGTGTCCCCAGCCCCTTCCTGACACTCCTTCTGCAGCTCTTTGAATTAACAATTGTGTGTTTCATTAACAGGCTGTCCACACACCTCCAGGAAGCAGGCTAGAAAACAAGTGAGAGCCAGAGGCAACAGTGAGGAACAGGGAGCCCTGCTGGGAGGCTGGGACTTGTCTGCCAGTTCCCTCCCAGCATGGCCTTCTCTGCCCCTAAAGTCCCAGGTTGGGCTCACACAGGATGCACACCACCACCTTCTCAGAGTGGCTTCCCAGTAGGAACTTGAGAGGAAGTGTCAGCATGCCTGAGCCAGGGCAGATTCAGGGAGCCCTGGACAGACCTGCTTCTGTCTCTCCTTTGCACCAAAGTCTAGCTAAGGGGCACTCTTTCCTCCTGGGTCACTCTAGGAACCTGATGGCTCGTGTGTGTCCCTATGATCTGCACAGGTAATACAGACATGCGTCTCTCCGGATAGCAACACAGGCCACCAGCAAACCTTGAGGAATCAACACTACACTCCTGGCAGGTGACCAGCCAGCAACCTCTGCTGGTCCATTGGTAGATCCATTCATCTATAAATCCTAAATCCATCTTTATAGCCACCCACTCATCCATCTACCATCTACCATCTACCTGTGACTGTGCACTGCTCTGTACCATGACCTGATGGCAGCAGGGGTCGGGGGACCAGGGAAAGAGACTTGGGGTAGGGGAAGGACAAAGAGAGAGGCAGGGAAATGCAATTGAGAGGAGAAGAGGGGGAGGGAGGGAAGCATGGGGGGGGGATGAGAGACAGAAAGAGGGAGAGGGAAGAGGAAGGAAAGCAGGGAGAAGAAGTTGGGAAGGGGGAGGGAGGGAGAGAGGGAAACAGATGGGTGAGAATTCACAACTTTCTTGGAAATAAAGTGTTTAAAAGAAGAAAAAAAAACACCTCAAGAGAATTGGACCACTTCATGTAACCACTGTCATGGGGTCTGGCTGGCCTGAGTGGCCTCTGCAGGCCCATCATCATTCTGACAGAGGCTAGGAGACAACACTGAGTTTTCTACATGAGTACCACCACACTGAACTCTTCCTGCTCTGAGGTAACCTCCCTCACCCTTGATGTCAAGCAAACAGCTCACAGGGAGATTCGCTTGCCCTTGGGAGAAGCCTGGGGGCCTCTTTAGCCTCCGTCAGCATAGAAGGGGTAGGGCTCAGGGTGGGTGGGCTGTGAACTGCTGCAGACTTGGGCAGGCTGGGGACCATCTTCAATAACTGTTAAACAGATGAATAAGGAGTTTGGATTCATTTTCCATATTATTGTGACTCTTAGTCCAGGACAGAGGTGGGGCAGACTCTCTCCAGCCACATCTCATGATACCAGAACCCCTTCCTTAGAGGTCTGATTGACCCTTTATCTATGGGACCCTCACTGGCCTCAGGCGGATCCTGTAGCTGGCTGCAGCCATGCATAACTTAGGTGTATGTCCTGGGTTTGATCAGTATTTTCCTTGGCATTGATCAGAAGTTGCCTGTGGTCCTGGAGGAGGTTGGCTAGAGGCCACAAGTGACTATGATTAAGGCAGCAAGTCTGTGCTGAGCCCTGTTCACACCCACCTCTGGCAGAAACCTCACTGCCACACTGCTCAGCCAGGAAAATATCCTTGCTGCACTTTGTTTCTTTGGTCCTGTCAGGTACCTGGGGTCAGGTTCTGGTGGGTTCCCATTCATCCATTCATCTACCAATCCATCTTTATAGCCATTCATCCATCCATCCACCCACCCATCTATTTATCCACAGATACAATGGGAATAGCAAGGAAGAAGCCATAAATTTTGTCACAGAAAAGTGAAAAATTTCATTCAAACCAAGCCACAAAAAAATGGAGGCATAATGGGAGAGCACAGGTTCTGTGACAGGATCAAAATTCTTACTGTAGCTTCCCCTCTTTCTTCCATCCATCATATCTACTCACCGACACACCCACCAGCCATCCACCCAGCCATTCATCCATCTATCCACTCATCCATCCATTCAACCAACCATTCATTCATCTACTCATCCATCCATCTATCTACCTATCCACTTAGCCATCCAACCATTCATCCATCCATCCATCTATCCACTCATCCATCCATCCATCCATCCATCCATCCACTCATCCACCCACTTATCTTTTTCTCCATCTACTTACTTATCAGTCTATCCATCCTTATATCCATCTATGTATCCATTCATCCATTCACTCACTCACTCATCTATCTATCTGTCCACTCACCATCTATCCATCTACCATCCTTAGGTATACCCATTACTCTACTTATCTATACACCCACCCACACACCCACTCATCTATTTATCCAACTTATGACTACCTACCCATCTAACTATCACTTTTTTTTTTTTGACCAGGTCTTATACTCTTTGCTGGGACATAAAATTCATTGGAGTGTGGCATGTTCCCAGTAGAGTTAATAGCTAGGCCTGGACAACTGGAACTGTGTTGCTGGACCTGGCGTTCAGCAGAGCCAGGAAGTTATCTGGATAAGTAATAGCTATTCCTGGCATGGTGTGACTGTCAGCTGCATCACTGTGACCAGCATGATGGCTGGTATGGCTGAAGCTCTGAGGAGAGTAGGGGGCTAGGATTGTGGGGACAAAATGAAGTGGATGCTGTCCATAAAAGAAGGACCTCAGCCAAAAGGTCCACAAAGGGTGAGGGGGTAGACTCTAAGGCCAGAGCTTGCTAGAACATGGAGTAGATGTGCTTTTCCAACAGGATTGGATAGGGGAGTGCAGCGGGTCATGGGGTCTCAGATGAATGCCAGATGGGACACTAAAAATAACCAAATATGTCATTTTTATGCTAAATCAGATAGAATCTTCAGTAGATTCCCGGGCAGGCAAGTTGCATCAAGTACTAACCATTTAAAAACAAGCCTGGGGCTGGAGGGGTCTGAGAGGCAAGGACATGCTACCCAGAAGTTCCCATGCCTAGGATGTGGGGACAAGGCCTCTATTGTAAGCTTCATAAGGGAGCACCCTGCATACCACTTGCAGAGGGACAGGGGAGGAGCAGAGGTCCAGAAAGGGCTCCCTCTCCACAAGGGAGGCCTGGGTTTGGTTAACAGTCTTGCTTGGATGTAACTTTGGAAGTCTGGCAATGGGTAGAGGCATTGCTGAGTATGGAACAGGCAGCTGGGGAGAGACACTCACACGGGGTCAGCTTCTTGGGGATCCCCTGTGCAGAGCAAGGATTCTGGACTGCTGGAGAAATGAGGAAGGCCAGCAGAGAATGACACATAGTGTTTCCCAGAGTTCCACTGAACTGCTCGGTAACTTCCCTATTCAAAAGGGCTCCAGGTAAGTTTGAACACCATAAAACCAGTTCTCCGGGGTGTTGTGCAAACTGTGGCTCTCTGGGCAACTGACCACTGTGAGTCCATGTATACTGCTCCCAGAGCTGGTGGAATGAGGCCAGGTACCCTCAACAACCATGGGATCCAGGGACATGGTGCAGGGCCATCCCTTAAGACAGGGGTTCCCTGGAAGCCAGTGTGGGAGAGGAGGGTAGAGAGGAAAGAATGGAATCCTAAGAAGTATTTTTCCTTTGCATGGTCAGGTACCTGTCAAGGGCTAGGTAAACTGACTGTGGGAAGGAAACAGAGAGCCCCCAGGTGCTTGCCCCTCTCAGCCCTGCCTCCCACTCTGCTTTCACACACTTACTTTCCTGTCGTTGAACTCAACGTTGTCACCCTCATAGTCCCCCTGTGAATGAAAGCAAAAGTAAGTTCCAACCATGCCATGGTACATGAGGTTGACCAGATTCCCCTCCTCCCATGGTCAGGGCTGTGCTAGTTCTGTTGGCCACTTAGCTGGCTTCTGATGCCAGACTCCTCAAGCTCTGTCTCTCCTTGACCTAGAGTGGGATCTGAGAGGAGACCCATCACGTTGCCTTGAAGTTGGCAGGGCTAAAGAAAGGGGGTTTTGAGGGGAAAGAAACTCTTCCTCTAACAAGAACATGTGGTGTACTCTGATGTCCCCAGAGCCCTGTCTAGGCATTTACTGCCAGGTATCCCACAGAACGTTCCACAATTTTTGCATATCTAGATCTCTGAGCTCAACATAGCCAGAGGCTCAGAGATGCAGCCTGATGTTCCTGAGGACACACAGCTAAGTTTGATCAGACCCAGAACTCACAACCAGATCTCTAAAGTCAAAGGATGAGAGGATCCAAAAGTTGAAAATGAGTCCTCAAAGCACTAAGGGTGAACAGCAAGAAAGTGGCTTTCTATAGCAGTCTCTGTCACATATAGTTTGCCTGGGCCAGCCACTTCCCTTCTCTAGTCATTCAACAGGTACAGCTCTGGCCTCTTAGAATCAGTCTAGGGCCCCCTCCATTGGTCAGCAACATTCTCAGTGTCTGCCAACCCCTGCCAGATGGGAGAGAATCTGGCCATGTCCCCAGGCAAGTGGCCGATAGCTGGGGTCTGAGGACAGTAGGGCCAGCTTCCTTCTGGATTCTTGGGGCTCCTCTTCTGCCCAGGCTCAGATCCTTAGGGTGTTTTCATGAATGAGTCTCATGGTTCCAGTATGGATTCATTCATACCAGAGGCTTGTTCATGGTGATCCGATGCCAAGCCGGAAGGAAGCTAAGAAGCCACCAAGCAGCCAACATAAATGTCACCAGCCTTTCTGTGCAGGTGATACCTCTAATTACTGGAGACCTCCCCAGGGTCTCACTCAGAACAGGCGATTCTTGGTCAGCACACGGGGATAATGCTGGCTACACAGCTGGCCATGGTGCCCCATATCCGCCATGGCTACCCAGATGACCGTGGTGCCCCACATTTGCCTAGAGATATGAGGTAAAAGAATGAACAGTCCACAGGGATGAGGAGAGGGTAAGGATGCCCCAGGCCAGGAATGAAGAAAAGAGCATGGATGGAGGACGATCTAAAAGGTGGATACAGAAAATGCAAACAAGCACCAGGCACAGTACAATGAACACACCATGGACCCCATGCTGGCCCACTGACTGCCCCCTCAATCTGTGCCCTCTATTTAAGGACATGGGGCACACTTGGCTCCCTTCAGAGTGAGATATTTCCCCTCTAGAGCCTACAACAAGGTCTTAGTATGTAGCTCATAAAAGTCTCAAATTCGCCATTCCCCTGCTTCAGCCTCCTGGCTTCCTTAGCTATTTCAGTGTGAGCTTTGATACTTAAAGGGATGGGTACTCTTCAGTTGTTTGCAAAGTGTATGGGGAGAAAGTTCCTTACTGTCCAGAGGTTCTGGACTCTGCTTCCAGGCTGTGTGTTCCACAAGCCTCTGTGTCCCTATCTTTAATGTGGGAAGTGTGACCACCACTGGTTTTCATATGGCTACTTCATCAAGATTACTGGCAGGTCTGCTTAGTGAAGATGGAGCATTTGATCTCCAGTGAAGGAAGACATGCAGTACCACTGGAGACACACAGCCAGCTGCTGATCACTTTATCCCCAGTTCCTCACAGGAATTGTGTGACTTCACACAAGTTACTAAACCTCTCTGAGTTTGTGTCCACATTGGATTAAATGAGACAAAGCTTCCCCTTGTCCCAGGGTCTGAAACCAAACAGCTTTGGCATATGTAAATTCCCAGAGATATTTTCCAATCCTTTCTCTTTAAGACTTAAAGGGCCAGGTCAAAGTATACCTGGCACTTTAGCTTCTGGGCCCCAGCTACACCAGGGCAAACAGGGCAGAGCTAGGCTGCCTGCTCTGGGCAAGACTGTATCCTGGAGTCCAGTGGAGTCCTTCAGAGAGAGAGGTCAACAGTGAAACAGGGACTTTATGAGAGGGACCAGGAGTACTATCAGGACCTGAAGGATCAGGGCCCTACCCTAGAAATGTTCACAAAGAAATATACCCCTTAAGGAGGAGGTTAGAGATCCAGAGTCATGCAAGCACACATCCCCCTCCCGCACACACACAGTGGTCACACTCCCTGTGGGATAAGGGACATTGGAAGGACAATGAATGGAAAACGAAATCAAGGGTGCTGGGGAAAAGACAGGGGGAGCATCACTGTCAGGCCAGGGGAACAGCACATGCAAAGGCACAAAGGAGGGAAGCTGGGCCAAATGACCCCCAAATCTCTGGCTCTGCAGGTGGGGAAGGCTCCAGCCAGGGGTGGTAACTGAAGCTGAGGTGGCAGATAAGCCTAGCATGGCCTCTCTCCCAAGGTCCCTCTGTGCTCTTTTAGCAATCCTTCTGAAAGTAGTTCCTTGCCTGTGCTTGCTCTGACACCCCACATCTGCCTTGCTGTTTCACAGGTATCAGTCTTACCAGGACACCAGGTCTCTGACCAGACTGCTCAAGGCCAGTGGAAACAAGAGACCAGCACGGGGCCTGGGTCTGCTGATACCCAGCCCTGTCTTCTTTTCCTCCTGCTTTGGGTTCCTAGACTATGCTATACTCCACGTTTGGCAAGTTCCAGAGAGTCTGTCTGGGGCTCACACACCACCAGGCCCCACGAACGACCTGGTCCCTGTTTCCATAAAAACAATAAGGAGAGAATTCTGTACCCTCCTTCACCCCTGGTCACAGCAAAAGCTAAATTTCTCAAGGAGAGGCCTGCTGGATTTGGACACTCAGCCCAGGAAGTCGGCCATTTGCTGTACACAGAACCCTGGTGATTGCCAGAGCCTGGGGCGGCAGGACCAGAGCCAGGGCAAACACCCTGTGGATCAGCTGGCTGCGAGGTATGGAGGAAGCCAGCCTGGCATCTCCAACAGTTGCCCCTGTCTTCATGGGATTGTTCTGCCAGCCAACACTGCTCTCTGTGTGACTTTTCTAGCTCCCACTGGGGGGGGGGGGAGAAGGTGGAGCAGGAAGCTATGACCACAGGATAATTGTAGCTCCCAGGGGGTCAGGGGGGTGGCCCTCAAAGATTTGGAGAGATCAACTGATGTAGAAATTAACTATGTGTGAAGATGACTTACGTCGTGCAGAGGGTATGCAGCTGAGTATACGCCATTGGCCAGGAGGCTGGTGATACCTTTAAAAACAGAGGTAGAGAGAAGTTAAGGACTAGCAGGCCTGCTGCCCCGCATCTGGAAGTCAGAGCCATCACAGGGCATCCCTGCTCACAGGGATGCTGCTTGAAGCTTGCACCAGGCTACCCAGAGCCCAGTCACCATCTTGGGGTTCTTCCCCAGGTAGAAGGCAGCAGGGCGAGTTAGCTATCCACTAGAGATGATTTCAACATGCTTGATTGGCAGGGTTAAGAAGACGCAGAGCACACCCCAAGAGAAAGTTCTGTCCCCGAGGAAGGAGGCAGAACAGTTCAGTCACCCCCAAACCTCGGATTCGCCAGCTACCCCCACCGGCCTGAGGGAGAACCTGCAGATGGACAGACGGCCTCCGAGTGGTCAGAGAAGCTGATCATGAGAGATGACGGATGGGAAATTGATGGTGTCGGGAAACACACATACAATTTGGAATTAGCTTGTAAGTTGATGGGAGAAGCGGAAGAGGAGGCCCCGCTCTTACCGTATTTCCCACACTTCCGCCGTTTACTTAGAAGGGCAGAGTCCTTCCTTCTTCCCTCTCCTTGCCCTGTTTACACATTGGCTATTAGTTACACAGAAGGGCCTAGAAGGGTCAAAGCTACATTTTGGGGAGACAGCTGGTGGTGGCAAGGGGCTCACAGTCAAGTGCTCAGGGCAGAAGGAAGATGGCCGGGCCCTTGTTGCCTGGGTCTGGAAGCCCACACTGACATAGAAGAAATAAAAGTCTACAACCTGTCTCTTGGAAAGGATGCCATGCCTGGCTCTGGAACCTGATACTGATGAGGTGGAGGAGAGTGGACTGCAGGAGGAGGGGATCCTGGGAGACTGCTCTGGTTTTGACATGCTCAGAACCAATGTCTTAGATCCTCATCCCCCCCAAACCCCAACTGCTGACCCAGAGCTCCCTGACAGGCAGAAGCGGCTTTCTACACGATCTCTTGTGCGTCAACTTTTTTTGCAGCCTGGAAGCTAACTCTATTCAATGTGGCTAGATGACATTTGAAAAATAACCTAAACAAGGCCCATCTCTTTGGACAGTGGCCTGGAATAGCCAGAGGCCCTGAGGGACATACAGGAATCAAAATCAGAGGTGGTTGGAACACATGGCTGAAGCCATGGTCACAAGTGGAAAATTCACCCCACATCAAGAACATACGTGGGGCTGGATCCTGGCCAGTGGTCTCCTTACCCTTCCTAGGACTCAACCAGGGTGGAGTCTCCACAGGCTCTCCCTTGGGCCTACCAATCCCTTCAAGCCCTCACCTGAGAGGCCTCCCTGGACCTGGGCTCCTAACCACTGGAGCTTCCCCAGCCTTCTGTCTGAGAGACTCCATTCTAGTTTAAGTGTTTCCTTGCCCTAGAACGCAAGTACCTGAGGGCAGCCCCTGAACAGACAAGCCGGCAGGAGCCAGTCACTACTTGATAGGTCAGTAAGTGACTTTGTAAGTCACCAGAGCTCCTGAGCCAGGTATCAACATGAAGTAGGATTATGAAGGCACCTTGATCTTTCTCTTCCACCCAGAGGCAAGGGAACCAGAGAAGTAAAACTATGGGTAGGAAACAACCCAGATCCTTTACCTCAGGGTCAAGCTAGAACAGGGGTCAGCTCCAGCCCAGCTATGCTCTATATATCTTCATGGAAGCCATATTCATTTCTATGGATGGGACCTGATAGTGCCTAGTCATGCACCCTTTATACTTCTGGTGGCCTTGTCACAGCTGTGCTCTGACAGCGGTGACCTGAACAAACCCCTGAGTGAGTGCAAAGCATGCTCATTCTGGAAGTCCTCACTGTCTGAAGGGATCAAGCCAGTGGGGACAGAACTCCTGGGTTCTGGGCTGGGGCCCCAATTCCCAATAAATCAAGATAAGGGCTTGGACATTTCAAAGCATCCCTGTGGCCAACTGTGGGCCACATCAGTCAGGCCATGTGCAGTCTCTGGGCCCTGGCAGAACCCTCCATGTTTCAGCCAGGTCATCCAAGGGCTTGGCCACTGCTTTCTTTGGGTTGCTATTTCCAATGGCCTAGAACTGGGCTGTGGTCCCTAAGGGACACCTCTTTATTCCTTCCTACTGGACTTATAATCAAAGAGGGGTTAGGACCCCTTGTGTGTTTCTTTTCCATGGCTTAGGGTCTCTTTGCAGGACCCTGTCCTTATACTCACAAACACCTTCAGCTAAGGAAGCAGCAGCTCTGGGTGTAAAACACCTGGCTATAAATCCACTGGGAACAGGACCCTGCCACAGCTTTTCTGCCAGTCACCTAGGTTTCTTTTCTGAACCAACATCGGCTTAAATCAAATCTCTTTAAGGAAGCCCCAAGCCAGATGCCCACCTCCCACCGAGAGGCAAGACGGACACTGAGAAGCTGCTGCTGACCTGAAGTCCACACAGAGCCCTTACCCATGCTGTACTTGGCCTTGGTGCACGTTGTTCTCTTCAGGATTTCATAGACCTAGTGCAGAGGGAAGGACAAAACGGGGAGCAGTTACTCTGCTGCTCTGCCAGTCAAAGGCCCACAGTCACAGGGCACTAGGAGGCTCCTGGGCTTTGAACACCAGCAGGTGACTCTCAGAGGTAAGCAAAGCAGGGGTCACAAAGAACCCTTAGACTTTACCTCCTGGTGCAGGACTGATCCTACAGACCTCACAAGGTGCCAGCTGTGTACAGTAGGAACCTTCCCAGGAGCTAAGAGAATAACTGTGGTGTGTGTGTGGGGGGGGGGGGGCATAATAGTTGGCTCTGTGTCCTGCTGCTGCTCGCTGCCCCTTTTGTGGAGACAAGAGCAGGACCTGAGAACCTGCCTATATCCATCTCTGTATGAGCTAGAAGGAGAGCAAGGTGGGGGCTGGATCTCGAGAAGCCCCCAAGAAGGGATCCTGTCCCTTTTGCCATCCCTTTGACTAATGAGATATTCTGCTTGGTGGTCTCAGGAGCCCTGGCTCAGGAGTCTGGTTTGCCTGAGGCTGAGTTAGGAGATCTTGTACAAACTGCACCACCAGCTGCGTGCCTCAATTTAACCCTTTGATAAATGGGCTTGGGATAAGTAGCCATGGCCTAATTAAATGACTTTCATTTTATTTTTGAGTCAGGGTCTCATGTACAGCCAGGCTGGCCTCAAACATATCATTAAGGATAACTTTAAACTTCTGATTGTCCTTCCTTCGTTTCCTAAGTGCTGGGATTGGAAGTGTGCACCACCATGGTGTTCGTGGTGCCAGGGATCAAACCCAGGGCCTCCTGTAATCTAGGCGAGCACTCTACCAACTGAGCCAGATCTAGCTCTGTGCAGATCTACAGACGACAGTTTCTTAGCATGTTGAGTCTCCCTCAAAACCCTTTGCTGTGTTCACTCAGGCAAGACCAGTGTCCCTCCACTGGCCTCTAGGACTGTATCACCCGGCTCTGCCATTACATCTGGCCACCTCAGTCAGCAACCCCAGCCTCTTGCTGCCCCCTCTTCAATTCCCTCCTGCAGCCTCTGTTAGAAGCACCTGTCCCTGTAGTCCTAAATGATGCCAGGGCCACATTAATAGATCCGCGAGGCAGGTCTGTCACCATTCTGTATTGTTGTCCCATTTTCCCTCTACCCTCTGGCCTCTGGGTGGAAACCCCTACTCAGGTGCTCGCCACACTCTTCCTCTCTGTCACTCTCTCTATCATCTATTTGTTAACCTGTGACTCTCTGCTTCCTCCACAACCACCTCCTCCTCCCTTTCCATTTCTGCAGTCATGAGCCCTCATCCAACCACCTCCACCACCATGTGACCCTCATGCATCCCCCTCTACCATGTGACCCTGATGTCAGTGCACTTCCAACACCATGTGCTCTTACATCTATCTATCACCACCAAGGGACCCCACATCCGACCACCTCCACTACCATGTGATTCCAGATCCATCCACCCTTACCACCACATGACCCACATTCATCCATGTGCACCATGTGCCCACACACATACCTTTCACCCACTCCCCACAGTTGATCCCCTGGGAGTGAACATAGCTGATTATATATAGAAAAAAACTTTGCCCAGCAACCTTTTATGGCTCCCCACTGCCTGCAGGCCCACTGTCTAAGATCCCAGTGAGCACAATGGGCCCTTGTCTCTTGGAACCTGCTGGTCTCTAACTCCAAATAGCTTGTACATGGAGCCACCCTAATGGCAGGAGAAAAGCGGCCTGTCTAAGTGGAGGAAGAGACTGTCACACCTGGGTCTGAACCATGAGACCTGACAAGCCAGCCACAGATCTGTGAATCAGCAGGTGCCTTTGGAGCACAGAGGTGGTCTACACACAGGCCTCCAGGATCTCTTGGAGACAGTGTCCCTCCTTCGTTCCTCCAGCAGCAAACAGGCATGGCTCTCCACATCTGTTGTCCCCAGTGAAATGGCCCTCTGGCTCAGTAGAAATGGTAAAATTCAGGGGAACCTCAGACAAAATAGTCTCACAGCTAATCACCAGGAAGAGGTACCAAAATTACTCACAGCCCCCTCAGCTTGTCACCTCCCCACAGCAAAAGTGTGTTTGCAAACACTCTGCTGGAGGCATCTGACACCCTGGAAAGTGCGAAGCCAAGGGGTACACATGCACACCGTGGAGCACAGGTGCACAGCTGCTACAATGGAAGCGACACTGTGCTAGTCATACTGTAGGGCTTCTCCCAATAGGCAGATATCCAAGACACTGTCTCTTAGACGTGCCAGCCCCAGCTCTTTTGGAGATCAAGAGGGGGTATGGCTGTCCCTCAAACACATCAGTCCCAATTCCACCAGAGGCCATGTCTTTGATTATGTTTCTCGTTGCCTGTTATCATGAAATCTAATTGTCAAAATTAATCAATAGTGGGGAGGCCAAATGGCTCAACAAGTAAAGATCCTTTCCTTCTCTCTTTCTCTCTTTCTCTTTCTTCCCTCCCTCCCTCCCTCCCTCCCTCCCTCCCTCCCTCCCTCCCTCCTTCCTTCCTTAAGATTTATTTCTTCATGTATTTAATTTTAGGTATATGAGTGCCTCTGCAGGTACACCTGTATGTCAGAAGAGGGCATCAGATCACATTACAGATGTTTGTGAGCCATCATGTGGTTGCTGGGAATTGAACTCAGGATTTCTGGAAGAGCAGTCAGTGCTCTTAACAGCTGAGCCATCTCTCCAGCCCCCAGGGAAAGGCTCTTCCTGTCAAGTTTGACTATCGGAGTTCAATCCTCAGAAGGAGAGAAACAACTCCCTTGGGTTGTCCCCCGACCTCTACACATGCACTATAGAACATGTGCCTCATCACACCCAATAAATAAGTTAATAGACATGCAAACAATTAAATTGACAACATCAGTGAAAACAGGATTGCACTGTGCCCATGGGACTGTCCTGATGGAGGTGCTACCTGCCCTTGTTGGGGACAAACCAGAATCAGTCTTGTTCTGACACAGGCTTGGGAACTGTCCTGCAGACACAGGTAAAGGGAAAGGCAGCAGAGGGGAAACATCTGCCTCCCCTGGGTCTGAGTGTTTCTCCCCTGGTGGCTGCAAGAAGAGTTGAGTTCCCTGTGCCAGGCAAATGGGCAGCCTCCCCTTAGCCCTTGCTGTGACCCAGCCAGGCTGGATGCCCTAGGCAAGAGAAGAGAACAGAACAGGCCTTAACTGCCAGGCAAATTTCTTGTTTAGATAGAAATTGGGTCCTGTGGCACGCACAGCCCCATCTTGGCTGGCAGTCAAGTTGGCAGCTGAAGGATAAACACCAGGCCAGTGCCCTGAGTAGGGCAGGGTGGCCTGCGTGTTCAGATTGCAACCTAGGCTGGAGGCACTGGCAAAGATCTGGGGATGTTATCCTACCTAATACATGTGCCTGGGCTCAGCTGCCTGGCCTACTCTGACATCCTCAGCCAAGCAAGCCCCTTGCAAGCTCTACCAGGACCAAACGACAAAGGGAGCTCAGCCTGGAGATCCCCTCCCCCAGCTTCCTGCAGCTTAGCTCTTTCTCACGCTCCTCCTCCAAACTGAGCAGCCAGGGCCTCCCTCCCCTGGGCCACCCACTGCCCTCCTGATTCATTATTCTAATTATTTTTGTCACAGGCAATTAGAGCTGGCTTCCACCCTGAGGAGTTTCAGAGAAATGAAATGATCACTGGGGTCCCCAGGGGCACCCTCTGATGAGGCAATTCCAGGACGCCTACTTACTATTGTGCTCCGGGTTTTGCTGTCGAAAAAAGAGTCCCTGTCAGTCAGGTCAAATCTGCAGGAACAGAAGGAGACAGGGGATTGCTGTAGGCCTTAGGGGACTCCAAGCCTGGGGAGTTAGCCTCTCTCCAATAACAATGACCATCAGAGGCCTAACTATCCTCATAGCAGGCACAAGTTCCCCCTGTCCCTGGGCACAGGGTTAGCAGATCTCATTAGCCCTACGTGGGAGACTCTGAGACCTCCCACTGCTGGAAAGGGAATTAAGGGTACCCTTTAGCTCTGATATATTTCTTTTTATTTGAATCAAAGTCTCATGTAGCCCAGGCTAGTCTCCAGCTAGCTGTATAGGTGAGGATGGCCTTAAATGCCTCACCCTCCTGCCTCCATCTCCTTAGTACTGGGATGGCAGGCATGTGTTTTGATGATACCTCTGGAAGACAATCTTTCAAGCCCTTGTTTCAGTGACAAGAGGATAACAGTGTCATCCCTCCACACGAAGGTTTTAGCTTTGAGGATGCTCTCCCTGGAAATGGTCTTCGTTCAGGTGTCCTGGGCTACACTGAGATTGCCTGAGGTTTCTGGGGCACAGGAATAGCTCTAAAGTCACTGTTCCTTGTGGTGCTTAGTGGAAAAGCAGAGGGTGGAGATGAGCTAGGTATGGATAATGGGCGTGATCCTCTCATGTCCCTGAGCAGGCAGAGGCCACTGGGCAGCTCTGCCAAAGACTGGTCAGTATAATCAGGGCAGCACACGACTCCCCACAGCCACTACTATTTTTGCAGAGCAGAGAGCTATATTCTGAGCTAAAATGTGGGTGTATGCTCCTTGCCCCCTGAAGTTAAAGCACCCCAAAGCCACCTGCCCCTGGGTCTTGCCATCTAAACTACCTGAGTTCCTGGTAACCCAGTCTTTTCGCCCATTTCTGCCAGCAAGGCCAGGCCTAGGTAGGCCTTCCAACTGCCACTGCTGAGCCAGGTAACTATGTTCCTCTTGGGAACAGGGAGGGTGGAAGGGTCCGGAACAGACTCAGCACTGCCAGGCAACACCCTGCTCACTGTGGATCTCCAGGGCCTTGGGAGTCCCTTGAGGGAGGCTTCCTGCTCAATTGATTGCTGCCTCACCAGCTGCTCCATTTGGGGCTGCTGAGGTTTCAAGAAACCAGTGCTCAGAGGGACACAGCTAGACCTGGGTAGCCTAGGCCTATCCAGCCAGGGCCCAGGTAGTTTCCCCTAAGCATTCTCAAGCAGGACAAAAGTCTGCAATCCCTCTCTCCTCTGCAGCTAAGGCCCTTGGAAGTTGCTTCCTTGGCCTCTCCTGGGCTCCACAGTTACATAGTACTTATAAGAATGTGTTCCCCTGTTCAGGGCGGGGGCTAGAGGAGGTAACCTGAACTTCTCACTCACAGGTGCTGTTTCTCCCTGGAGAATGGGTAGGAGAGCCTCTTTGTGGTCTGTGGTCTGTGCTCAGCCACCTTGGGCTGGATGGGGTCTGTGATCTTCTGCAGAACTGAGTTGATGGTTTTCAGGAGGCCTCGGGTCTCACTGATGTGGTACACCTGTGGGCAAGACCAGGCGGGGAGATGAGCCACTCTACCAAGCTCTGACTTTTATGATGGTTAGTTCATATTGCTTGTCAATGCGATGGAATTTCGATTCACCATGGAAACAAACCCTGGGGTGTGTCTATGTAGAAGTTTCTAGTGGGAAAACTGAGGAGGAAGATACACCTTGAATGTGGACGGCACCATCCCATGGGCTGGGGTCTCAGACTGAATCAAAAGGGAGAGAGTGAGCTGAGTGCCAGTGTTTGTCTCTCTGAGCTGTCTCACGCCCCTGTCTTCATGCCGTCCACACCATTATGGCTATATCTCCATAAACTGTGAGGCAAATAAATCCTTTCTTCATTAAGTTGCTTTTGTCAGGGCAATGTGTAAAGTGACTAAGTCTGAGTGCCTATTCTTGGACGGTGAGTAAAACATAGTCCTTTCTGGAAACAGAGCAGCCGGGAGTGAGTCAGGGGATAGCCTGTGTGCCCTGTATCTGCTGTTCCAGGCTTACCCAAAGAGCTCAGCATTTTAGGAGAGTTGGTCCAGCAGCTCAATTATAACACATTCTAGAAAACATTTGTCCCAAATGTGTCTTCTGATTCCAAAGCTGTAATCCAGCAGCTTCGGTGGATCTGAGAAACCGCACTGGAGTGGTCTCCCTTCCACCCACACACGTAAATATGGACTCTCGGCCCAGCTTCCCTGGCAGGCTGCTCTTCAGCCATAAAGTTTTCAGAGATTAAAAGGAAAAATCCCAGCAAGCTAGAAAATGTAATTAAATTGAATCTGATAAATTATCTGAGACCCCACAAGCATCAAAGAGGCCGGGCCTCAAGCTGAACTCTATTTGTTCAGGTCAAATTCCTGGAACAGAGCAGGCAGCTTTTCTGCCCAGATCTTTTCTTGGTGTTCTGGTGGGATGTGGGCTTAGGTCTTGCTCATTCTCTTTTTAGGGTGTGTGTGTGTGTGTGTGTGTGTTTGTTTGTGTACAGGTACCTACAAAGGCCAGAAGAGGGTGCTGAATCCCCTGAAGCTGACAGTACAGTGAGCTGCCCTTTGTGGTCCTGAGATCTGAACTCCAGGCCTCTGTAAGGCATCTATCTAGCCCTGTCCTAGAGTCTCTAAAGACCACCCCAGGCAGGGTCAGATGCTTCACAGTGGATAGGAACTCCCCACTTCGTGTCCTCTATCCCCTCGTGTCCTCACTCTGTCTTCCAGGTGTCCTCATATCAAGACCAGTGTTTTGTAAAATAAACACACCCACCCACCTTCTTTGTGGGCATCTTCAGTTTCAAAAACTCAGCCTCCCTGCAGAGCACATGCCAGGGTGCATGGATCTTCACAAACCCGACACCATGGATTTTGGTCTAGAGAGAGAAAAGGGGCTATTAGTGTATTTGGCAGCTAGACCCCCTTTCCACCTTGATACCCAGCTATAATTGATGAGGTGTGACTGACTACCTTTGCCTGACACCAGCCCCATGACAGTACTCAGCAAGACCTTCCATATAGCGTTTTATGGAAGAATCCAGGGGTCCCCAGGTCATAGCCAGGGGGGAATCTTATGGGTATAAAATACTTGCGAAGTTTTCAGGGGTTAAGTGAGAGCTCCCCAAAGCCTAGCAACAACAGAGGACCATTCATGATTCCAGGTCCACACCCCTCAGCCTTGACTGGGGCCTCTCAGGGCTCACCAAAAAGATGCTCTGGGAGGGGGTAGGGTGTCATATAGTCCCCTCTCTCTGCTTGTAGCCTAACTCCAGTTTCCCCGTATATCTATGACCTTTATCCTTGAAGTGTTGACAGCCATACACAGGGACACCAAGAGTTCAAGTCCAGTGCTGTTTTGACTTGGGACAAGTGTGATAGTTATTTTGTCAGTTTGGTATACTATAACATCATGCTGGGCTGTGGACATGTTTTCATGATAGAATGTCTTAATGAATTGGAAGACCTGCCCACTGTGGGTAGCACCATTCCCTGGGGACGGGATCTTGGATTATATAAGACTAGGAAAAGTAAGCTAAGTATAAGCGCACACGTATTAACTCTCTGCTCTAGATTGTGAATGCTACCAGTTGCTTCAGGTTCCTGTTGCCTGGCTTGCCTACAATGATGAACTGCAACCTGGAGTTGTGGTCTAAATGAACCTATTTCCCCATAAGCTTTTGTGAGCGTATTTTACCACCACAAGTCATGTCTCTCTGTTGAGAGACAGGAAGGGCTACTAACTGGCAGCCATGTTAATGGCCTTACAAGAACTGATTGCTACCACCAGCTGGAGAGGAAAAGAGTCATTGCACAAGGGACATTTAAGTTTGTGGAGAAGTCCTTTAGTCTACCAGCTCTTGGCTGGCAGAGTCCACCCAATTCAGATTCAAGCTGTGTTTCCACAAAGACAGCCTGACTCCTGGTTCTCTATAGACACATGTCCCTTGGAAAAGGCACTTTATCAAGAGACAGGTGACTACATAGTCACACAAACATGCAGGACATTGCCCAGATCTTTCCCAAGACCTGAAAGACTGGAGCTCTGCCCGAGGATCTACAGGGAGGAGTCTGTCATGGGGTACAGAGCAGCCAGTGTGCTCTGCCCACCTCAGGACCATAGGCTGAGTGAGTGGCCCAGCCCAAAGATGTACTGTAGGCTGCCAGACTGCAAAAAGAAATGGGCCAATGTCATCTGAGGACTATCTATAAGGAAAAAGCATTTAGGATGCGGAAGCAGGGTTGTTTCTAAGGCTTTTCTGCTATTCTGGCTTGCATAGTGAGTTTCAACCAACCAATCAATCAACCAAATTAACTGAACATCTGGAAAGGGGGAGGAAGTAAGTATGCTTGTCCAGAGGCTAACATCACGAAGTTGGAGCCTCTGGGAGCTGACACAGCAGCACAGCGCTCCCACCTGGCACAAAGAGGTAGATCACAATAGAGATGTGGCAAAGTTGGTGGAGTGCTCGCCTAGAAAGCACGAGATACTGGGGTCAAGCTCCAGTACCGCATAAGCTAAGTGGAGTGTTGTATGTCTGTAATCTCAACACTCCAGAGATAGAAACAGGAGATCAGAAGTTCAAGGTTACCCTTAGTCTCATGGGAAATGTAGAAACAGGAGATCAGAAGTTCAAGGTTACTCTTAGTCTCATGGGAAATGCCAGGCCAGCATGGGCTTCTTGAGATTCCCTCACAAACAAACAAGATAGTTCAAGCCAGAGCTCGGGGATGGAAGGCTTTGGCCACAGGCCTGCTCTTCCTCTGTGAAGAGGCACATCTCATTACAGGATACAGAAGATACACCAGAATCTTAGGATGGAAATCCATGGTCCTTCTGTGCCCCTAGGTACAGGTGGGATAGACTTGGGAGGCCAGGGTCAGAATCCTGCTCAGCCTGAATGAGTATGGCTATGGCAAGTGTCTTAACCTCTCCAGACCCTGTTCCCTCACCTATAAAGCAAGTGATATGAGGTCTGGTTTGAAGACAGACAGGACCCTTAGCAGTTGAGCCCCAGCCTTGGGCCTACAGGCAAAATCAACACAAGGGACTGAAGGAGCTAAGTACAGGTTCAGTCTGGCTCTGATGCAGATTAAGCCATGCCTGCTTTGGGCAGCCCTGTCACAGAGTCCTCAGCCCTGGTGACTCATAGGCTGATGTCATGGGACATCCCTAAGTCAGGAGAGATGTCTGTTGTCTCATGAGTGGTGGAGACCAGTAGAGACCACGTGTGGTGGAAGCTATCTTTTCCACTAGAGATCCAGATTCATCTCTGTGTAGTGTTTGCCTGCACGCAAAGACCCAAAATATTCTTTGGAGTCCCAGCATCCCTGGGAAAATGGGCCCTGCTGACGTGAGTGCTCGGGTCTCTCCCAAGGAAACATCTGGTTGGTGAATGGGGTCGTGGGACCTATTTAGCAAAAACACACTAAGATGTTTAAAAAAACGTGGTACCCTGCCTGACCACAGCACTCCCACAGGAGGAGGAGCCTGGGGCATGGCCAAGTCCCTTCAGCCACAGCCAAAGGCTGCAAAGGACTAAGTTCTATCCCTACTCCTAAACCCTGAGCTGCGACATTTGAAACCACAAACTCATGAGCATAAGGAGGGGAAGGCACAGCCTAGCTAAGCCACAGGGACCTGTGAAGGGACAAATCCCCAAGAAGCCCCCATCCAGAGAACAGGTTAGGCTAATTCAATTAGAGCCCAGCTGAGAAATTATAGGCTTCTATCCTGAGCCCCAAACGAAAGGACTTTGAGTTCACTAGAAATGGTTCTAGAGCCAACTTTACAGAAGAAGCCAGGTACGGTGGCTCATTCCTGCAATCCTAGCACTTGAGAGACTAAAACAGAGTTCAAGAGGTGTCCTGTGGTGCCACTCTGGGCTATATACTGACTTCTAGGTCACCCTGGGCTATATTGTGAGACTGTCTCAACAAACAAACAAACAAACATAGAAAGAAAACTAAACTAGAACTTTGACCAGGCAGGTGGCACAAGTCCATAACCACAGACAGGCAGGAGGGTCAGGAAGGAGTTCAAAGCCAGCTTCACCAACATAGCAGGGTCAAAGCTAGCCATGAGATTCCATCTCAAAAAAAAAAAAGTGAATAAAAGAAGAAAGAAGAGGAGGAAGAAGAGGAAGATGAGGAAAGAAGAGGACAGGGATGGAAAGTTCCATGAAGGGTTTGAGTGACTGAGGGCACCAAATCATCACCTCATCCTTGTACCTGGAGGCCTGTGTACCAGTCCATCACTCAAGGTAATAATGGCAAACTACACCTATCATCTGCCTGATGTCCCAATTCCCACCTGCCTTTCCCGCGGCAATGGCTGCCTGCACAGATGTGAGCTTGAGACAGATGGCTCTGCTTCCATGTGCTCCTAGGATGGCTGCCTGCGTGTGACAGAGTATTCAATGAGTAAGTGATAGAGCAACCAGAGGAGCCAGCCCCAGCATCTGGCCCCCGTCTCACCCTCTCTCAGACCTCCTGGTCTGCCTCAGTGTACCCCTGTGGGTGATGAGGGGCTGGAAAGGTCTGTAGACACTTGATCCAGATGTTTGAGCAGCAGGTGTGGCATGGGAACTCCACCTGGTGCTCCCTTGTCATGCTCATGATGCTCCTCCGCCCACACAGCTCCCAGAGGGTGAGGCATGGCCCATGGGGTTGGGATATGTTGTCACTAGTGTGAGGCCTGGGTGGGGAAGCCTTACACGCTGCCTGGCATGCTCACGGTATGGGTACTGCTGGCCATGTTCACAGTGTGAGGGAGACTTGGAGCCCATGGCAAGAGTAGGTTTGGGACCAGGGGTGCCCATCTACCCTTAGGGCTGTCCTCTTGATGCTATCCTTAGATTTAAGCCTTGGGCACTGGGGAGCCAAGGGTCTCAGTGAGTGGATGACGCTTGGTTGTCCTTTGTCAAAATATGGCAGGGACAGGCCCAGGCCCAGGATATGCTTTTCTTCAGTCCAGGGCCTGAGGCCTGCTGGATGATACTTATCAGCAGCTAGATCCAGTCACACCTCTGCTGCCACTGAAGGTGGAACCATCCCCCTGGGGCAACCCTCCATGAAAAACAAAACAAAACAAAAATGCTGGCTACAATTAGAGAAAAAAAATCAATGCACTGTCTTCAAGATTCTGTGCAGTTGGAACCAGGACAGAGCTACAAGCCATGCCATGACAGCAAATGCAGATCCAGAGAGGACACTAGAACCATGTCTTCAGAGGGCGGTGACATCCACTTTGTGGTGGTGACCAGGCCTGGCTTGAACTGGCTTCAATGGCCACCCAGCCTTGGTGGGAAGGAACAGGACTAGGTCCCCTTTGATGAGCCCCACAAAGGAACAGTAGTCTTCTTCTGATCCCAGGGCAGTAGGTTGGTGATTGCTCAAGAGCTTGAGGGTACAGGAGGATTGAAACCCAGGAATGGGCAGACACCATCCAACACCCCATGTTCCTGTGAGCATAACTGCTCCTCTGAGTTACCCTGAGGAGCATGGAGAAGGAAACTGAGGGAGAGAAGAGGAGGACTAAAAAGGAGGAAGGACACCCACAAAGGGGCAATGGCTTCAGCTGTCACTGTGGCCTTGGGGCATGTCAGCCCAAGCCCTGGGAACGCCACAGGGTTTCAGGAGGTCCTGGATGGGCACAAAACCAGCTGAGCTCACTGGGTTTAAACAACCCAGGGAGATGGCCAGGGAGAACCAGCAAGTGACAGAGACAGAAGCCAGTGCTCTTGGCTGGAGAGTGTGAGCTCATTAGATGGATGACAGACAGGTCAGCCCTGCTCACCTCAATTACAGACATAAACTTCAAGACAGGAAGGCCTGGAAAGAACAGGAAACTATTAAAAAGTGACACAGCCAACTTGGG